AACCTACAACCAAGATTACTTTATCCAGCAAAGCTATCATTCAGAATTGAAGGTCAGATAAAGAGCTTCACAGATAAGGAAAAGCTAAAGGAGTTCACCACCGCCAAACCAGTATTATATGAAATGCTGAAAGGTATCCTTTAAGAAGAGGAAGAAGAAGAAAAAGGTAAAGATACAAATTATGAACAACAAATATGCATATATCAACAAATGAATCTAAGAATCAAGTGAATAAATAACCTGATGTACAGAATGAACTGGTGATTATAATAGAATCAGGGACATAGAAAGGGAATGGACTGACTATTCTTGGGGGGAAAAGGGGTGTGGGAGATGCGGGAAGTGACTGGACAAAAATCATGCACCTATGGATGAACACAGTGGGTGGGGAGTGAGGGTGGAGGGTGGGGTGGGAGCTGGAAGGAGGGGAGTTATGGGGGGAAAAAAGAGGAACAAATGTAATAATCTGAACAATAAAGATTTTTAAAAAAAATCAAAAAAAAAAAAAAGTCATCAAGGGAATGGAATCAAAACCATGGTGAGATACTGCATCACACCCTCTGGAATGGCTCCAATCAAAAAGACAAAAGATGCGGGGGAATGACTGCTTACCGGGTATGTTTTTCTTTTCAGGCATGAAATGATTTGATGCAGGTAGTGGTCACACAACACGTAAATGTACTAAAGGCCACTGAGCTGTACACTTTAAAATGGTTACTTGTATGTTATGTGAGGTGTAGATGTGGGACTCAGAAACACTGCAGGTGGGAATGACCAATGATACAGCTGCTCCTCAACACTAAATAAAGAACTGCCATATGACCCAGCAATTCCACTCCCAGGTACATACCCAAGAGAACTGAAAAAATATGTCCACACAAAAACTTGCACATGAATGTTCAGAGCAGGATTTTTCAAAATAGTTAAAAAAGGAATGAACCAAATATCCATCAACTGATGAGTAGATGAATAAAATGCGATATATCCATACCATGGAATAGTATTTGTCAATAAAAAGGAATGAAGAATTGACACATGATACAATATGCATGAACCTTAAAAACACTAAGCTGTGAAAGAAACCAGTCACAAAAGACCACATATTGTATGATTTATGATTCCATTTATATGGACTCTCTCCAAAGTAGGCAAATCTAAGGTGACAGAAAGTAGATTACTGGCTGCCGAGGACTGGGGGGAGTAAGAATGGGTCTGAGGTTTCTTTTACGGGTGATAAAATGGTTTAAAATTAGACTGTGATGGCTGCAAACATACTAAAAAACCATTGAGCTGCATACTTTAAAAGGGCAAACTTTACGGTCGGTAAATTATCTCAATAAAGCTGTTTTTTAAACATTGGACTCTCCATGACAGCAGACCTTGTGGAGATCCAGAAAGGACTAACATGCAAAACACCCTCTACCAGGCTTTTCACTGCAATGTACTTGCTACTGTTCAGGAGACATTAGGTAACTTACACTACAAGTATAGGTTATTTTAAATAATTATCTTCAATCCTGCCTGACCCAGCATGACCATCATCTTTGCTCTTTCAGACAGACCAGGAAAAGGCAAGCCAAAGAGCCAGCCATGGAAGAAGAAAGGAAGCACTTTGGAAGGCTAGCCTTAATGCAACTTTAGTGGTTGGCTATTCCACTAAAAAAAGACATAAGCTTTTTAGGGCAACGTAATGAACTCACCAAAGACAGAGTGCAAAGTAAGCCAACCGTTGCGTCCTGGGACAGTACTGTATTGGGTCTCTGTATAAAATTCCAAACTTAGTGTATGTGTAAAAGATCCAAGAGCAGGCTGCGCTCTACTGGCTAAGGTGACCCCATTTCTATTTTTAAAGGATCATAGCTAATACAGCTACAGCTGCCAAGATTAAACACCCTTCACATGACTCTTTTTTTTTAGACTACCAGATTCAAAGATACTGATCCCATTACCACCTGCAAAAGCAAGCCCAGGCTGAGATAACCATGTTGATCCTGAAATAGATTCACAATTCTGTAAGAGTGGGGTGAACTTGGTGACTTGCTAACAAATATAATATGGGTAAGTGTGATGGGGTGTGACTTCTAAGCTTAGATCGTAAAAGGCATTGTGGCTTCTTTTCCATTCTCTCCTTGAATTACTTTCTGAGAGAAGCCAGTTGCCATGTTGTGAGGAACTCACACAGCCCTATCTGTATAAAGCCCCACATGGCAAGGAACTACCCCCTACCAGTGAGAAACTGAGGCCTCCCACCAACAGCCAGGTGAGTGAGCCATGTTGGACATGGATCCTCCAACCCGAGTCAAGTCCTCAGATGATTGCAACCTGAGACCTCAAGCCCAAGTCACCCACTAAGTTGCTCCTGAATTCCTGACACTCAAGCACTATGAGATAATGTGTGATGGTTAATGCTGGTGTTTGGGGATAATACGCAAGGGTATAACTCACCTGTTCGAGGCCACCAGTGTGTCCCACCTGATTTAGATGGTTCCTCAGTAGCTGTCCAGGGTCACTGGATGTGTCCCGAGCAAACAGAAGCACAGAGAAAAATGGTACGTCCTCTCCCTTCTCTTTATCATCATATAGTTCAATGGCTCTGTGTAACATTAAAAATTTTACAGCTTCATAAAGGCTATATTCTTCCTCTTCATTTGTGAACAGTTCATCACAAGCTCTCTGCCTTGCTTCAGCAGTTCTCAGTTCAGCCAAGCCTGCCCACTGCAATAAAAAGTTACATAATAGTTACATTTTTGTTCTAAAAGTCCCTGGTATACTTCCATACTTTGAACACAAAATCATTTTCAAAAGTAGGCAACCGTGGGTCACAACATTCAAGTTTCCAGCTCAAACAATGGTACTACTCTTTAGACCACACAAAATCCTTATTCAGTTTCTGCCCCATTAATTTGAAACAAAAGTACAATGCACTAAGAGGAAGCACTGGGACTGTGGAATGGCAATTTGGAACCCTAACTTCAGGCAATGAGACTCAATCAATCAAATATTTATGCATGTGTGAGTCCTGGGTGTGAAGCTGTGAAGAAGAGCTAAAATTACTCCTCTCTATAAGGGGGCTTACAGTTATCCAGAAACCTTCAAAAATGAAGATGGGCAAGGACGGGCAAGGACGATTAGGGGATCTCCTAAATATTAGTTTACTAAATTTAACCTTCTAACCTCTCAGACGTATACGTGAGTTTCAAATGAATAAATCCATTCAGGAAATTCTAATTGACTCCTGATTAAGAATAGAGTAGTGTCAGGTATTCAGCTAAAATAGGCACACTCTTTATGTGAACAAGAAAACCCCATAAATACATGTACTTTTAAGTTAAAGTAAATTAGAATAAAAGATGCCAATATGAAACTAGTCCTTAGGAATCACCAATAACTACCGCTCCCTGAGAACCCAGTAAAATTTTAAATCCAAGAGTAAATTTTAATGGTAATGACTGCACCACAGGACTCTCTAACAAGTGGGCTGAAAGCTGGAACACCTCATTTTCCAGAAGTAGACAAGTTGCCAGTCAAAAGCATAGCTCTAGAGTCCGGATGGAATGAAGGCCTCACCCAAGCAGCTGATGGCTTTTACAGGGCATTAACCAATTGCGGGGCCTTAGTTTTCTCAGCTGTAAATATGGGGTAACCATAGCAACACCACCTTGGTAGTTGCAAGAATTAAATACATACAACTTTTAGTGTACGGCCTGGCCCATAGAAAGTGCTGGGAATGTAGCTCAGATTATTAATAATTTTCACATTACTCTAAATTGGAATCACTTAAACATTCCCCAAAACGAGGATCCAGTCACTCTAGACACACCTAAAAAAAGCAAAAATTGCAATTTCACAAGAACTTAAAGGAGATAAAAAGGAATTCACAAGTCACTGAACTGAAGAGCCTTCTCACTCACTCCCACAGGGCCAGAGCCCTGCCCTCAACCCTCCACTGTCCCGGGGACTAGGCAGCACAGGTCTCCAACCCCCACAAATCCTGTGCTCTGCTTAATAGGCAAGAACAACAGAATCCCTCTGTCTTTCTTGTCCTCCCATTTCATCACTGGTATTCCTGTGACAGTGTATTTTGCAGTAAATATTTCTATGATTGCAAACCCAAACTAGGTTCCAGGAAGTCAGGTCCTCAGTCCATCCATCAACAAGGTATTTACCGAATGCCTATAATGTGTCAGGCTCAGGTCTAGGCACTGGGTATAAAGAAATGATGTCTTTCATGAAGCTGAAAGTCTAATGGGACATGAATTCGTATCATTGATATTACGATAAGAAATTTGGACTGTCCCTAGCCGGTGTGGCTCAGCTGGTTGAGCGTCATCCTGTGCACCACTGAAAGGTCACCAGTTCGGTTCCCAGTCAGGGCACATGCCCAGGTTGTGGACTTGATCCCTGGTTGGGTGCATGTAGAAGGCAGCCAAACCATGTTTCTCTCATACTGATGTTTCTCTGTCTTTTTCTTCCTCTCCCTTCCTCTCTCTCAGTTCAATAAAAACATTAAAAAAAGAAAAATATGGACTAAATGTATCACTGAAACTTGTCAGTATGACTTAGCACAAAGACTGTATTTGTTATGGTTTCCTTTTAAGATAGTTAAACAATTCATTAAACATATCATCTCCTCCAAGAATACTTGATGTTGATATTTCTCAATTTTACCAAAGACCTCACAGGAAGGGTTTGTGTTCATCCAAAATTATTTTGCCTAAAAACCAGCCAAGAACATCTGGTAATCCACTAAGTGAGAACTAAGAAGTGGTCTTCTGAGGGGGATAAATGGTGATGGAAGGAGACTTGACTTGAGTGGTGAACACATAATACAATATATAGATGATGTATTATAGAATTGTATACCTGAATCCTATATAATTTTATTAACCAATGTCACCCCAATATATTCAAGAGAAAAAAATGGTCTGCTGGGGCAATTAGGAGCAGGAGCTTTTGCACTTCACAGAAAAAGAAAATTACATGTTCCAAACCTTCTTTCTTAGTAAAGTGAGGGACTCCTTAATTTTATCAACCAGGTCCTCGCTCTTCCCCTCAAATTTCAATCCAAGTTTCCACTGCTTGATCCAGCTGTATTTGCTTATGAGTTTTTCTGGTAACTGGAGTATGAAGAAACAGAGAGACAAAGAACATTAACCCTCCAAAAAGTCCATCACATGAACCAAGCTGTAAGAAACCACAAAGCCCTTTGTCCTTCTCTTTCTCCCATTTCGTTATCACTAGAGTTCCTACCTTCGTTTCCAGAATTAATCCCTGCAAACCTGTCATGTGGGTTTAGGCTGGATCACCTAAACCTGGAAGTCAGGAACTCAGAAAGTACTGCCCTAAGGAGGACTGCTAGAGTGAAATAAAGGTTTGGGTTGAGATACAGGAGCTCAATATAGCCTGCACAACCACCCCAGCCAGGAACCCTGCACAGCACTTTGTGAGTGTATGTGAAGGAGCCTCTTCACAAAAGCCTCCAGCAGCTGCTGGGCCTTTGGCAGCCTCCCTAGCGCTCCATACTGCCTGACTCTGGACGGGGCTCCAGGACTTGTGAGATGATCCAAGATAAAGTAAAAACCTGCTCCCTTCCTGATTGGGAAAACAAAACCTAATTTTGATATTAACACATATACTCAAAGTTTTAATATTCAATGAAGCAATATTGTATCTAGTTCCACTGCTTAGTATAGTAAGATAAAAAACAGCACTGAGAATAAGAAGTAGGGGTTAAGGGAGCTGTGATGGCCTAGCTCAGTGGTCGGCAAACTGCAGCCCCTTGAGTGTGGCTCTTTCACAAAATACCACATGCGGGCGCGCACGTACAGTGTGATTGAAACTTCGTGGCCACACTGAAGGAGCCAAAGAGCCGCATGTGGCTCGTGAGCTGCGGTTTGCCGACCACGGGCCTAGCTCATTAAAGAAGTGACAGCTGAACTCATACTTTGCCTGCTTCTCTTTTGTTATTTCCCCCCAATCATCAGTGGAATCTGGAGTCTGAAAGGCAAGATGGGACACAACTTGATGGATGACAGCATGGGAACTCACTCTCCCAACAGTCTCCGGTGTGCCAGGAGAAAAATCCATATTATTAGGTTGGGCACAGGCATGTCGTGTCACTGCTATAAAATTTAGAGAGGAAAAAAAAGTTCATCTCCATGTCAAAAGATCATTAAAGAATAATTATTTCCTACAACATCCTATGTGGACCCTGAGCTTATTTAACAGTTACAAATAGGTTTTTTTAAAAATATATTTTTATTGATTTCAGAGAAGAAGGGAGAGGGAGAGAGAGATAGAAACATCAATGATGAGAAAGAATCATTGATTGGCTGCCTCCTGCACGCCCCCTATTGGGGATCGAGCCCACAACCCGGGCATGTGCCCTTGACCGGAATTGAACTCAGGACCCTTTAGTCCAAAGTCCGACGCTCTATCCACTGAGCCAAACCGGCTAGGGCATAAACAGTTTTAAAGGAGACCATATGTTCAGTTCTTTCTGAATCTAAGACCCTGCCTACCCTTTCATAATGGTAATTCCAGTCTTACCTTCTTAGTCTATACCAATCATGTAAAACAAAAGTGGTTTCATCTCTACAAAAAACTAAACCACCATTGGGATGTAAATTCCTCTTGCAGTTCCCACAGTGATGCTCATCCACACTCACTCATAAGGGGGAAGGGGCTTATCATAATGACAAATGACCACCCACCCACGAGCCACCCAACTTCATGCCCACACGGTCCTGCATTTTGGCAGCACGTGAGCAGCTCTGCTGCAAGCCTTCAATTAAGTTCTGTTTCATCCAGAACCTAAAATGCCCTCAAGTGGCAACAAGCTGAAATCACAACTGGGCACAGAGAAGTGCAAGTGAGCAGAAAATCTTGGCTACACAGATGTGAGCTGAGAACCGAGTAAAGGGAAGCCCATAAGCCCATCTGAGCATCACGGGACACTGTGCAGGTATCTAAAAAGCAGGCACAACACTCAACTGAATTACCCAGGAGACCCCAAAGACCTAACTATGCAGACAGAAACCCAAATAAAAGTCCGTCTCCTCAATCCTTCTATGTATTGCTCAGTGTTGCTAGAGCAATCCTCCAACTCAGGGTGCATAGTTCTGGGAGACAGTGCAGCAAGTCCAAAAAATAAGGTGTGAAAAAGAAAATACAAAGAAAAAAGTAATTGAGTTGGAATTATTTATTCAGAAGAAAAAAGTGAATATAATTTTAAGTGCTTTCAGGGCTCATAATACATAGAACACATAAATAGCCATTCTTTTCTCCTGCACCTTAAGAGACTGGACTTCTGTTATAAATTTGAGCAAGAAACAAGACTTAAACAAGAAATAATACTGGGAAATATTTAAGAATAAAATGGTAATTAGCTTAAGTATAATTCAATTTGTGACTGAATTATAAAAACACCCTGTTTTCCCTAACAAGTCTATAATTCTTGAAACCAACACCATGATTAAAGGGGTAGCAAATAAAAATGTGTCATCCCTAAAACTAACTCATAAAATAAGTTTCGATATACCGTAGAGTCTAACCCACTCTAAGCAAACACTGCTACAGGTCCCACCCACTCGGAGACATTCTAAAGCTTAGAAAACTTGGAAAGCAAAGGACTACCCTGAAGGACACCACCTCTCAGGGACCCAGGCCCTGTTCCAAGTTTAAGAACAGCCACACCAAGCACCTCCAAGGTTGTTAGGTAATCTGACTGAGATTACCAAATACCAAAACTGGGATCTGACAGATGCAGAAACAACACATAGGGAGCCCAGGCAAGGACGGGAGGCGAGGGACAGCTGAACTGTCCAAGGGGCAGTGAGGACAAAGCTCAACCTTCCAGGCGGGGAAGGAGAGAGGCCAGAGGAGCTGAGCACAGGCAGAAAGGCAAGTCCAGGCTCTCTCCACTGAGATCAGACTAAGGGGAGGGGCTCTCAGCCCAGCTCTCCCGCATCCCTTCCATGTCCTGTTCTAGGAGAGAGGGAAGAGGGCAAAATGCAACAGGGAACACTTTCAATACAACTAGCGAAAGGGCACGTGTTCCTTGGTAACAAAAGACGGCTTCCCTGGGCTCTCACAGTCTTGATGGAATGTACACTAAGGTCAAGGGATGTTTAGCACAGCACAGCCATGGGCTGAGGCTGGTTCTGGGTTCACACAAAAACTTAAGTGTCCCAGGACCTGTCTGACCCCAAAAGCTGAAGAAGTGGGTTACTTAAGCCAGTGCGGTTCAGGAGACTCTGATAACGCTGTCTGACCCCAAAAGCGGAAAGGTGAGTTACTTAAGCCAGTGCATTGCAGTTGACCCTAATAATGCTGACACCAGATTCCCTCTAACCTGCCTGCAGGGGCAGCCTTTCTGTGTCCCCACAAGTGGCCAGGACTTTTAAAAGGCCAATGGACACACAATAACCAGAGGTGTTGTGCCATGAACTGACCAGGCCATAGGACTGTCAGTGGACACAGGGTAGTGGTCAAAAGAGGCCCTTGGTATTTCAGAAAGACCAAGGATCAGGGTAAACTAAGAGAGATCCACTGTCAGAGACTTATTGTGGGCGTGGTCCAAGTAATTAATATACCAAACCGACCCAATTTTAACACAAATAATTTACACCAAGTTCTAACAGCAAGCAGAGTGTTACTTAATGTGACACAATACAAGTTATTCTGCTCTATCAGGAAGATGGGGAGGAAATGGTCACACTCACTTTCATACCAAAACCTCTGTAAGATTTTGTTTTGTAGCCAGAGAATTATTTAAGTTTCACTTGATCTGCTTGTCTTAAGCATCTGTGTTAACAAATAAATATTAAGATGTTTACTTATTACAGAGTTACACAAGTAGTTCCTAGAGATGGAGAGACCCCATTTCTGGAGCAAGGTGATCCAGGTACCCCAACACCCTAGGGTGCACTGCCAGCCGCAGAAGGCCTCACCACCCCTCCGTCTATGCACTTAGTTCCACCCCAACATCTTCTGGTCACGCTGCGCCACCCACTCCCTCACTCAACCTGGCCCTTGTCGGTGAGAACAGGAGTGCAATGGCATCCTCAGAGAGCACGAGGGGCAACTGGGAGGTGCTTAGAAAATAGCTTGGTCAAGTGCAACAACCAAGTCTGGTACCCCTTCCTGCTCTGGCACCACAAATATGAAGCATGTGGTGCATCTGTCACCTGATCAAGCGATCAGCAAAACTGACCCTGTAAAAAAAAAGTGCTCAAACCAAGGAAAGTTGCTGGGGGTTGGGAAGCCAGAAGGAGAACAAGTCTTCTAGTTAGAGGAGAACAAGAAAAGAATAGTCATTTCTTTAGCTGGCATTAACAGAACGAAAGTTTAATAAACTTAAATACTAAAGTCACAGGCAGGCATGAGGTGCTTCTTCTATGGCACGGGCCTCTTGGCATTCAATAAAGGTTACATGACAAAAATAATGCCAATAATACCACTGTGACCAACTAATCAGATTATGCTCCAAGAGAGAAACTGTATTTGTTGGCTGATATTCACAGAAAAGGGAAGAAATTGGGAAGAGCACTTGAGAATTTAAAAACTATTTCCACGTGACTCAAATGAAATCAGGAAAACCATCTTAAAGCCCCATTGCTCATTCACGCAACATATTCTAATGGTGATCAGAAAGCAAGCACAATCCACCTTGACTGCTTTTACTACCTATAGGCATCCTGTCACTAAAGTAAAAGGGACACTATGCTTTACTTTCACGGGGCATGTTCTATATGTTTAATTATACAGCACACTACTGTACCAGAGTTTCTTGGGAAATATAAAAATTCAAATTCATTATGTCAATTAAATCCATACATTTAAACAGCCCCTAAAAGAAAAAGGCTCAAAGAAAAAGGCTCAGCCTAAAACAAGGAGGATTTTATGTCACAATCTATTAAATTATGACAATCAAACACTGAAGTTAAAGCAAAAAAGAGTGAAATCACTCACATTTGCTTCCCTAAGTGTCTTATAGCCAGCCAAAGGCATGCTTTGGCCAAGTAATCAGCAATTCTGAAATTTTTCACTACCTATAAATGTTATGATTTGCAAAGGACAAAATAGCCTTGTGGATCAATTGCTTTTGTTTCTATATTTTTTAAAAAAATCAATAAGCTAGTACTGAGTAACCTGCTTAAGATAACATATCTTTGCTTAGAAAAAAAATAGCTTTCACAGTTTACACAGGTGTGCTGATATATATCGGTTTATAAAACGGATAATCACAGGATGGACAGGTAGTATCCTCCACCCACTGGTCCTGGTTTTGCCCACTGAGGGCGTGTGATCGTTCATCCACCTAATAGACCTCTAATTAGCTCAGCTGGCAGCTAAAAATCCTCTTTCTTCTAGGCCCCTTCAACTTCAAGTACCCCAGCTCCTTCACTGTTCCCAAAACAAGATGAATCGTCGTTGTCACACTCCCATCTGCTCTGAGCAACGGAGTTGCACTTGCTCCTTGAGATGGGAGCTGACCAGCGCAGTCCAAGATGGGCTGTCGCTGTTGGAAGCGCACCTTTAAAGCAGGGCTCCCCTACCACTGCCGGCCATCACGTCACTTGGGCTTATGTGGGGCTTGCAATCAATTAAGATCCTCATGTCCTTTTCCCCCTCATAAGTTGCCAGCAAAATGGATGTCCCACAGCTAGCACTTTGGGTTTTGTTTTTGCTTTATAAAAAAATATAAGCAACAAGACTTCCAATTTTCTTCTAATTATGCCCTATTGTCAGTTTTGCTCAATCATTCCCACCCACCAAACTCTTTTGGGGTATTCTATTACCCAACCTATGATGTGACCTCATCTGATGTGTGTAGACACACGACACAATGAGACATGATTTCCTGGGTGTCACTACCACATCTCAGGTTTAAACCACTGGCAAAGGCCTAGCATGGGACACAGCCCGACCTTCACCTCCCCAGGAAGCCCCTCCCAGGGTAACATCAATCACCCGCTTCTAGTGCTGCTGCTCAACCACCTACGAAGCCAATCCTCCTAACACTGCACAGAGGGTGCTAGTTTCTTGAACTGGAGCTGGAATTACAGGAATGTGCACCCTAAAACCCCAGCAGGTTCTCACAAAGACCAATACACACTCCATTTAATTCAGCACCAGCAAGGAAGCCAAACTGCTCCTTTACAAACTCTTAACGCCTGCTCACTAATTCAGCTCAACTGTTCAAATAAACTTTATCATTTTTCTCTTCTGGGAAATACTATTTTTGGTCGCTTTTACTATGCAAAATCATCCCAACCACACAAAACCCACATGCTGACGTCATTTTGCACACAGGGCTAGCACAGAGCACGGGCAGAAAAGGGAAGTCTTTCTCACAGAAATGATTGGAAACATTACGGACGCAAACCTGCAGCAGCAGCGTACCAGCGTGAGCTCCGGGTCCTGCAGCCAGGAGGGCAGCCCCGCTGGCTGGCTCATGGCCTGGAACAGCGTGGCCCTCAGCGCACAGTAGTTATCTCCACGGACTCGCCTTATGGAGGTGAATTTCTGAGATACCTCTTCGTAGCCCTGGGTGAAAGCATCAAAGAATTCAAAATGGTTGTTACTAACTTCAGGGAGAGTTTTATTCCTGTGGAAAAATGTGCCCCTGAAAGACTGTAAATAAGACTGGTTGAGTCCTTCATGTAAAACATTCTAATTCCTTATTAATCAAAAGATATTAACAAATGTTAGTACTGTACAAAATATCAGCATGTTAACAGATGCAATACACTATAACATATAAATAATACACCAAGTATTATTAAAGCACTAACCACTCCCAAAGCTGGAGTTATATATGTCCCTTCCTAAGCAATTGTTGTATTGATAACCGAATGTATGGATAATTTTAATTATGTATTGACTAGAGCAGCGGTTCTCAACCTGTGGGACACAACCCCTTTGGGGGTCGAACAACCCTTTCATAGGGGTCGCCTAAGACCATCGGAAAACACATATATAATTACATACTGTTTTTGTGATTAATCACTATGCTTTAATTATGTTCAATTTGTAACAATGAACATACATCCTGCATATCAGATATTTACATTACGATTCATAACAGTAGCAAAATTACAATTATGAAATAGCAACGAAAATAATTTTATGGTTGGGGGTCACCACAACATGAGGAACTGTATTAAAGGGTCACGGCATTAGGAAGGTTGAGAACCACTGGACTAGAGGCACAGTGCATGAAATTCGTGCACGGGAGTGGGGGGGGGGGCGGTCTCTTGGCCCGGCCTACACCCTCTCACAATTAAGGACCCCTCGAGGGATGTCCGACTGCGGGTTTTGGCCCAATCCCACAATCTGGAAGTGAAAGGAGGAAATGAAAATGTTCAGTGACATGCTCTCAAAAACAGCATTCAAATGGAACATTTTGAAGCATACTCTAAAAAGGACACCATAAAATCCTAGTGACCGGTCCACAGGCCTTTGATGATCTGATCTCCCTGGTTGGGCACTGCTCAGGCATCGTATCAACCTCAGTGCTCCCCCAACTCGCTCACTTCCAATCTGTCCATCCTTTCACTTGGCCTGCTCTTCCTCGACAGTCTCTGGAGACCGCTTCCTGCCCTGCACTCACTCAAAGAAAGGAGTCTCGCTCTCACCACACAGACAGCCATCCTGTGTCCAAGTGCTGCACCCTCATCATGAGCTGTTTTCAAGGTCCAAGTCACAGGACAGTGTTCTTAGTGGGTATGAAAGTACTTCTTTAAAACAAAATGTTGAGAGTCCCATTTTTATGTAGTGGTCCAATCACTGTGACAGATAAGGGTCCATCAACCAGACTCACATCTACTAATGTGCATCTCTTCCCTATGGTGGACCCTCAATTACCTTGAATATTCACAATGGCTTGTTCAACAGCAACTGCACCTCTCCAAATGCATACATTACTCGTGCTATTTCAGAGGTGAGTCAAACTTTTAAAATTAAATTTGGATTTATACACATCTCCAAAAGAATACCCAAACAGACAAACAAGGACTAAAGAAAGAACCGAGACCCAAGCGGCTCTCAGGCCTGAGGTGCTCTAATTACTGCCACGAGTCCTGATGTGACGACATTTTTCTAACTAAGGTGCCTTTGATTAAATTTTGGTCCCTGAATAACCCAACTACAGGGTCAAATCTTGTTCTTGAAATAAAATGACAGAGAAATTATTTCAGCATGAGTTCCAAAATATGGAATATTTGGATAACTTAGGGGTCATCTTCAATTATGGACTTTCAGGTGCCTGTTGTTAGAAAAATCCTTTAAAGAGAATGAGATCATATAATTGCAAGTCAGTGAAGGTATTTCTGGGGAAGATAAAAAAATATGGGCATACCTAGGAGATATTACGGGTTCAGTTCCAGACCACCGCAATAAAGTGAATATCTCAATAGAGCAAGTCACCTGAGTTTTTTGGTTTCCCAATGCATATACAAGTTATGTTTACACTCCACTGTAGTCTATTAAGTGTGCAATAATATTATGCCTAAAAAAGCAATGTATATACCTTAATTAAAAAACACAATTGGTAGTTATAAAATAGTCATAGGGATATAAAGTACAGCATAAGGAATATAGTCAATAATTTTGTAATAACTATGTATGTGCCAGCTGGATACTAGATATATCAGGAGAACACTTGTAAAGCATATGATTGTGAAACAATTATGCTGTACATCTGACACCAATACAAAATAATACTGAATGTAAACTGAAACTGAAAAAATAAAATAAACACCCCACTTTATTGCTAAAAAAATGATAACAATCACCTGAGCCTGCTGGAAAAATGGCAACAATACACCTGCTCAACACAGGGTTGCAACAAACCTTCAATTTGTAAAAAAAGGCAACAAAGCAAAGCACAATAAAATGAGCTATGCCTGTGTAGTTTAGATACTGGTCTACTGGTTATCTAGTCTGATACCAGGTGAAGGTTGTTAGAAAATCTATGAGTGGCTGATATGCACATTCAGCAGATGGCCTCACAAATCTAGATGTTCTCCGCTGGCAGGAACTGAGAGTCCCTGGTATTTCCTGATTGAGTTCTCTCACAAGGGACTGAGTCCACACCTGCAGGGGGCAGAGCTGACATTTGCTCTCAGAGCTTGAAAAGTGACAGCTACACTCTGAGTTAAGATCAGCTCATTTCCGGACAGGCCTGGGCAGCTGAGGTGCCTGCTGAAAGATGTGCAATACTGTCTACAAAAACAAGCTCTGAGAAAAAGACCAAATGTATTCAAATATTTAAACATTTTAAATCCTAAATAGTTACAAATAAAAAAATATACTAGGAAAATGTCTACCAAGTATAATAGATCAATATCTCTAGTATACAAGTGCATTCAAATTCATAATGTAAATAAACCCAAGAGAAAATGAGCAAGAGATATGACCCAGATGTTACAAGAAGTGGTTGAAGAGTTAAACTGAAACTCATTTTTGCAGCTCACAATGGTCAAATGGTAGTAATTTTGCATGGTTCACACTAGTAAGGAATGTTGGATTCAGGACACGTTCAGGGGAAAGCAATGGTGTCTGTTCAGCTGGCTGTGCAGTAGGAGTGAGTCAGGGGATCTGACCTGAGCAACGAGCCAGCCCAGTCACAACAGGACCATGCATGGGACTCCCTGATGTCCCACAGCCTTGGAGACTACCTTAGGGTCACCAATCTGTGCAATGGTGTTGGGAGGGGACAACTCCTGGGACGCCCTAAATGAGGGGAGGAGTTCCAGATCCCTGTGCATAAGAAGTGCAGGAGGGCCCAGCCCCTAAGACTGGAGGGCATGAAACCAAACCCAGGTGGGGACAGTAGGGGATTGGACATCTTTTACCTCACCAGGCCAGAAGGGCATTCCCAAATGACTCCAAGAGGACAAGCAATGGCTGGCCCAACTCTAAAAAGCAGAGTCATTTCTGTGTTTTTCAAGGAAATCATGTTACTAAAAACTGATGCTTCTATTTTAATACTGGGACTCGGAAAAAAGTCTCTTATCTTTGACGTCTGTTCCTTATCTCTAAAATCAGAACACTAGTATTTACATAGTGTAATAGCAGTTGTCATAATTAATGTCTAACAATATAAAAGAACACACTAAATAATTACTATGACAGACTATTTGAAAGACTTGAAATATGTGCATGTAGGTGTTATACCTTTTTCATACATGTAGCTTTTTGCGTATTTCCTCTCCATTCCTTTTTGCAGTAGTCCATGATATCCATTTCAGGAGCTACACTTAATTTAGGTTCTGTTAAAGAGTCAAACAGAAGAAGAGAGGGGGAAATAATGAAAAAAAAAAGCATAATCAGAACAGTACTACTTTATGCAGGGACTACTTCCTCTCATTTCATTCCAAAAAAATCTGGGATCTCACCATTGCCTACCACCTGATCCAGACCACTATCCCCTCGCTCCTAGATAATGACAGAGGTCTCCCAATAGGTCTTCTTTATCACACACCCCACTAGCCATTCTCCAAATGGCAGCCAGAATGATGCACTTTAACGATATCCATCACTCCTGGGTCCTGAGAGCTCCTGGGGCCTCCCATCTCAGTTGGAAGGGCCCCTGTCCTGGCCTAACTGCCTCTCTGGACTCGGCTCTCACCACTCCCCTCACTGACAACTCCTGCTCCACCTGCAGCCGCCCCTGTATTCCTCCAACACACTGGCTCTTCCCCAGGTACCTGCTCTCACATTCCATGCAGGCCTCTGCTCACCTCTGAGACCCCTATATCATAATGTCGCACACTTTCACTTATAGTCTTCTTATACTGTTGTTTTTCTTCTTGGCAATGATCAACACCCAACATATTTCTTTTTCTGTATCCCCCCCCCACCCCGCCCCACTCCACACCCACACACAAATACAGTAAAACACAGCTCCTTGAGGGCAGGGGCTTATTTTATTTCCTGGCTATGTCCCCAGAACCTGCAGCTGCTCAGACACAGGAGTCTGCAAATACTGTCCCAATCAATTAAACATGGAACAGTCTGAGCTATGAGAAAATACATCTAATTACTTGTAATAAGTTTTTCTTATCCATTATACAAAGAGATAACACTTCAGTAATAAAACATGTATTCGTTTTTATTAATTTATATCCTGCCCTGATCCCCAAAGACTACAATAATTGATAATAAGTCAGAAACTAAAAGGGCTCTCAATGTTAGTTGAACCACAGACCTCATTTTACTCTAATAAAACAAAATTAAAAATACAACTTATGATCAGACAAATGATATAGTAAGAAAATGGCCTTTAGTTTTCCTTATCGTTTGGGGTTTGATTTTGTGGTCTACACATACACACTCACATGCGTATATCTATGTGTATGTTTTAGGAAGAAAGGGAAGTAAATTCTCAGGCATATCTTGACTTCCTTTTTAAATTATTGAAGAAGTAAATGTTAGCAAAGAAATTAGGATATAACACAGAAGAACCTTACAATGTATCCACTCCAGAGGAAGTTGACATAAAATAAAAATACTATATTCAGCTCAATTCAACAAATATTTACTGAGTGTCTAATACACATCAAGCATTGAGCTAGGAATATGAAGGTTTACGACCCAGATTTTGTCCTGAATGGGTTTAAAAACTACTGAAGAAGAAAAGACAACAGGCATTCACAAGCAGGGCTGTGATGGATGCTGAGATGACTAAGGAGCACAAAAAAGGAGCCTCTAAGCCAGCGGTTCTCAACCTGTGGGTCGCGACCCCTTTGGCGGTCGAATGACCCTTTCACAGGGGTCGCCTAAGACCATCCTGCATATCAGATATTTACATTACGATTCATAACAGTAGCAACATTACAGTTATGAATTAGCAACGAAAATAATTTTATGGTTGGGTCACAACATGAGGAACTGTATTTAAAGGGCCAGAAGGTTGAGAACCACTGGCCTAAACCAGGCTGGGCTGAGGAACCCACCCCCTTCTCCCGAGTGCATGAATTTCATGCACTGGGCCTCTCATATGACGAATAAGAACTCTGCATCAGAAGTGAATTCTGTGCAACTACAGCAGTAGAAAGCAAGCGTCCTCAGCAATTTCATGGAGGACCAGAACAGTGTGGCCCAAGAATACATCTGACTAGGTCCCTACAAAGAACATCTCCTATGGCCACCAGTGAGGAGTTCCACCAATTCCTTGTTGAGGAAGACTTGAAAACTGTCAACAAAACCCTACTTTGTATCATTTCTTCCTAATTACACATATGGTAATACTTTTGTTAACCATAAAATAAACAGAAGCTAGTTCTCAAAACAAACCACTAGAACACACACATTACACTGGGAATAAGAGAGAAAATGCCACTTGTGCCTCATCTATGACAAATCCCCAATTGGAGTATTCCCCCTCGGTTCCTGCACTAGTAAGGAGGTACTTCACACACAGCCCTTCTGGCTGTGCCCACAGTGGAGGAGGCCAGGATGTAATGCCTCGCTCTAGCAGCAATGATGGGTCAAAAGGGCCCTGGTTGGGGTGAGAAGAGCAGGCATGACTGAGCAGAAACATGGACACAAAATCATGAAACGAGAGAATTAGTGCTACCAATCCCATGATCATTCTTTCTTACAAGTCAGTGAATCCACATGGCCATCTGAGGCAAAGACACAGTTCTCTATTAGTCTTCCCATGTGAAATGAAAACTGCATTGCAAAAATGGCATGAAAAGAATACTTTCAATAAAATATTAAAACCTCAGGAAACAATACTCACCAGACTTTAGCGAAATGAATAATTGCACGCAGCTAAGACCATATGCATATCTCCTAGGAAGTACATCTTAATATTTTATGAACATGGATATACGGATTTAACAGCATTTTCTACCATAAACAGTAGAACAATAAAACAATAAATAAAACAATTCCAAACATACCTGATAACCCTCTTTCATGTATAAGTAACTCTTTCTCCTTTTCTATTTCATCCGCAGCACGATACATGTCCTCCTCGCTGAAATCACACCAAATGAGACATTTCAAAGTTGTTGCACTGACAGTTTCCCTCTTATCACAAATGCAGGTGCTTAAAAATTGATACGACATTTAAAGTTTAATTTTTTTCATATTAATGACAATCTGATAAAATATGGGTCTTTCATCTTAGATACTCGTGTTTCTATCATTCCACTTCAGAGTTTCTTACTTCAAATGAGACATTTTACATCACTCCATTTGCCACCTAGCTCTGAGGCCATTTTAATTACAAGTCTATTAATGCCTCATCTACACATGTAAGCATCTTAGCATGTGTCTTATCAATGAAGCACTGTCATAGTCTATCAAGTCTCAAGAATAAATATAGTGCTATTAAAAGTGTTCATATAGGTATGCAGGCCGATGGCCCACCTTAATGTCACAGGCAAACTTTACAATAGTTACTCTAATAACAATAGACGAGCATCAATTATTACAAGTCACCAGAGCTAAAAAAAAAAAAAAAAAAAAAAAAACCTCCCAAGGCTCCCCCTGCTCTCTGACCCCCATATTCATGTTCCGCTGAGCATACCCCTACTGTCCCACATACTCTTATGCTGCCACTGCTACTGACTTGGTACTTATATAATAGCTTCCTAAAGAGTCTCTAGTCTCACTTACTGAACTAACAAGAACCTACTAAGTACTAGAAAGGGAGACAAGGGTGCTAGACAAGGATGAAGTATGGGACTTCTGGTTTTAGGATGCCTTCTCTCCCCTTTAACTTACACCACAACATGACAATGATGGGAAACAGAAACACTATCTTTGCTGAGACCACAAGACATGTGAAAGTCCAAAAGTGGACGAAGGAGTCATACATGACAAAGGACAGGGAGCCTTGCTGCCTGTGGAAGGGCATCTGCCAAAGAGAAGACCAGTAAACCCTGCAGAACCCCAGAAAGGCCAAGTACTTCAGAAGGTACAGGAGACACCGAGAGCTGAGAACAAGGAAACTGGCTGATGTTCACACAAGGAGTGATCAGACCCTCAATTCCTTATACTCCTTCCTGATGACAGCACACTCCCATCCAGGCACAATGGCACACAGGAAGGAGGAGTTAATAGGTCAATAAACAGTAAGGAATTAAGTGAACGACTGAAATACTCCCATCTCCAATTCCCTTAGTTCCCCCTGCTCCTTCTCCATGGCCTAGTACCGCTGGAAGAAAGAGGAAGGGGTGAGGGGAGAAGAGACAGATGAAGATGTGCTGAGAGAGGTGGGGAATCTAATCTATCTGCCTCCCCACCTGAAGCTCTTCAATGGCTCCCAAATAAGCAGAAAAGTCTAAAACGTGGACCTAACCTACCAGTCTAGCCAGTATTCTGTGATTCCCTACACACACCCACACCAGTCCAAGGTTTCCCAGCCAAGCATTTTCACAACCTGTGATTGGCTCTGCCCATTCCCTCTGCCTGATGGGCACTGGGCCTACCCAGCAGGACATGTACTATGTGGGGACCCTGCTGCAGAGTGGCATGGCTGGAGTGGGAACCCAGAGTTAGAAGGTCCTCACTGTAGCCCTTATCAGCCGTATGTATGACTGTGGAACTAAAGTAACTACACCTCTCAGCACCTAAATGTAACCATGACAGTAAGAGTACCACCTCAAAGGATTGTTATGGGAAGACACAATGTAAAATATTCAGCATTCAAAAAAGTTAGCTATTCCAATTAATTCTCATACTATATCCATTGGTGCAAAGTATTAATAAACAATAATCATTTCTCATTCCCTTTTTCTCTCTAAAATAAAGGTGATGGGATATGTGTGGGCCAATTTTTTTAATGGGGTTAAGGGGTCATATTAGGGAAAAGGTACTTTCCACATACTCTGGCTCCAGTCAGATTTCAAGTAAAAGGTGTGATGTCACCCATGGAGCCTGCGCCAGAGTTTAAAAACAGAAACCAGATTCCCAGAGCCTATACATCAAACACCTAAAATAAAAAGTGACTAAATGTGTTAGTTCTTCTTTCGCTAATTTAATATCTTTCGGGCCACGTTCCGAGCTTTATCAAATGTGAAAAATTCTGATCCTGCCCTAACCAGTTTGGCTCAGTGGATAGAGCGTTGGCCTGCAGACTGAAGGGTCCCAGGTTCAATTCCGGTCAAGGGCATGTACCTTGGTTGCGGGCACATCCCCAGTGGGAGGTGTGCAGGAGGCAGCTGATCGGTGTTTCTCTCTCATGGATGTTTCTAGCTCTCTATCCCTCTCCCTTCCTCTCTGTAAAAAATCAACAAAATATATAATTTTAAAAAAGAAAGAAAAATTCTGATCTTATAACACAAGCACTCAAGTTAATCACTTTCAAAATATTATCAGAAGCATGTCTTTGGGCAAGCACTTCCCTAATCTTGTCCTCAGTTCTCTCATCTTCATAATGAGAAGACTGGCTAAGATCTAAATGACCTACATCATCTCATGGTACTCATAAACGAATTAGTAAAATTCTGCGGCACACCAAAAAATGTACTTTTGGCCAATCTGACAAAAAAATAAATAAGTCTAATTTTGATTGTTTCACACCGGACAGCTACTCTTGTGTTGGCTGTTGTCAGTTTTTTAATTGACAATCTACGGGAGAAGAGGTCAGTGCCCTTGACAAAATAGGTATCCCATGTTTTAAAATTCCTGCAGCATGCAGGTTGAAAATCGCTGATCTACATAGTTCCTCTTCCAGTTCTTACTTTTAACAGACCAGGAATCTATTAGTCATTAAACATTCTACCTCCAGGGATATTCTGTAGCTGTGCTACATGCACATTTGGCTATACTTTGTCCTCTTCCTTTTCAATCTACAAAGTAACCAAAGTGCAATCGCAACACCAGTGCCCAGATGGAGTTCTCTGAACAAACATTTCTCAGTACAGTCACAAATACAAATTCCCACAAAGGCCAACAGGAGAGGGACGGAAAGAAATCAAAGGGAAGACAGAAACAGAAAGTGAGATTATCTATATAATAAAAGTCCAGCGATTGTGACAGCAGAACGACCAGAACGACCGGTCACTATACACGCACTGAACACCAGGGGACGTGAGCTGCCCCCTGGTGGTCAGTGCACTCCCACAGCTGCAGCACCACTCAGCCAAAAGCCAGGCTCACGGCTGACAAGCAGAGAGGCGGTGTCAGGAGCCTCTCCCGCCTCTGCAGCAGCGCTAAAGAGCAGCAAGTCGAGCAATAAGGAGCAGTGAGCAGGCGGGCGGTAAGGAGTGAGGGGTCCCAGACTACGAGAGGGTGCAGGCTGGGCTGAGAGGACCCCTCCCCCTCCACATGAATTTCGTGCACCAGGCCTCCAGTTGGAAAAAAAATTTTTTTAATGGCAGTGTTTCGGGATATACAAAAGAAACAAAGCAGAAATTGATGAACAGGGCCCAGAGTATATTCAAATTACTTTAGCCACAAGTAGATTTCATTCAGATCTTGTGCACAAATGTTTGCTAACTTGCATGGCCACCAAGGACACTTGCTAGTTTTCTAAGGTCACCAAGAAAATTGTATTATGGCCTTTAAAGGCTACCTTAAAAATTATCCTAAAGCTGTATTTCCTTGTAGAGAAGGTAATTTTTAAGTTTAAGCAATAAAGCTCAATCAATATGGTTAAAAAAAAAAAAGAAGAAGACATTTAATAGCCAAAATGAGATCTTTATTCAACATAAGGACTACCAACTAGAAAGAGAGAGATGTGTGAGAGCAAGAAAAACTAGGTTTATTTAAGAAAATACTTCACTCAATAAACTTTTGCTTTAAATTTTTTAAGTATCAAAATATTAAAGCTGAAAATAACAAAATGAAATTTTATTTAAAGCTGTGAATCTAAAATAGCTAGAGGTTTAAATTTTTGTTATGGGAAAGGAAAATAGTGAAACAATAATAGGAAAAGGATATTAAATGATAAATAAAATGTTACCATTTCAGAAATGTGCCAATCTTTTGTAAGTGCCAAATGGGGGTGGTGGGGGGGGTCTACCATTTGGCACAAAAGAGACCACTGAAGCACACAGACTTAAATGATTACCACAGCAAAGTTCCCTCTGGAAAACATACAGATACCCAGAAAAGTAGTAAAGAAAAGTAAGACAAAGTCATAAATGTGACTTGATTTCCTGGGGACCATGGCAGGCAAATCACCCTCAATTATACAGTTGAATTAAATTTTAAAACCAAACTGTTGGCAACTCCTCCTTAGAAAATGTTTAGTTTAGCTCTGTAATGTTAAAGTGTGTATATTCAAGTTCCCATTTTCTCTTATGCTAGAGGTAACATATACTATCTAATAAAAGTGTAATATGCAAATTAACCATCACTCCATCACAAAGATGGCGGCGCCCAGTCCTCTCAGCCCAGCTGGAGTCCCCCAGTCCTGGGGTGGGAGGGGGGGGGGGAACGGCCGCTGAGAGTGGGCAGCGTGAGCGGCCTGGTGGAATGCTTGCTTCATCGCCATGGCGACGAGGCAAGCGTTCCATGCCCAGCCGCGGAGGGCCTCTGGCCAGGCTGGGTGTGGAACGCTTGCATCGTTGCAGACCGGGCTGAGGGATCTCCCCCGCCCCCCCCCGCCCCCTCCCCCCCGGCCGCCCCATGCATGAATTTCGTGCACTGGGCCTCTAGTTTTATTAATATTAAGGCAACATACACCATTGAGAAAGTTACATGACATTGCATTCTAAATTATAAACTTCCTCTTGCTGTTCAAAGACCTACATAACAATATATTTTTGAAAACTTAATTTAAAAATGCTTACTACACAGAAACAAAATTACACTATTGCTAAGAACATAAGCTATAAGCTAAAAACACAGAGCTCAGTGAAGCAGAGCACATTTCTGTGAAGCCAATTTTTCAATTTCCGATACAAGTAAAGATCTAAAATGAAAAAAGTCAATGCTGACATATACACAAAGCTAAGAAGAGAGCATTTTAATCCCTCACCATTATGAACACTTGCACCAACTTCCCCTTGTCTAAAAAAGCTAAGCTGAAGATTATTTTGTTCAGCTCTCTGAACTTGAACACTGCAGTTCACGCTTAACTTGGCCTGTCCTGGGAGACTAGTGGCCCAGGCAGTGTTGGGGAGACAGTGTCAACCACTGTGACACCAATGCATCTTCCCACACAGGAAAAGCAAAGACCATTCAACCAAGCCTTTCTCCACCACTTACCGGTTATAGAGATGGGTGAACAACACATCAAATGCAGGAAAGTACCAGCACCCAGGCCAAAATTCCACTCCCTTCTGCAACTGGACTTTCCATGACTGGCCCATGATACTCCACGTGACTTCCAGAGGTATATGGGGACAACCCTGAACCCTTAACAGTGAGGCTTCATTCTCAGAGATATCTAAGCTCTAAACTCTGAAGCTGGCTCTACATCCAGGCGAGGGGAGGGGTAGGAGGGCATAGCTGATATCCCATCAAATATAGCTCTAGAAGCTCTGGAGGTGCGAGCTGGGTGGGAAACACACTGGCACAGTATATTTAGCAACACCCAAGAACAATGTTTTAACAATTTGTTGTTATTCACAGATCTTTTGAGAAGCCACAACTTTCATCAGAATCTCAGCCCAGAAACACATAAATACACATAAAGTGTTGTCTTCAATTTCAGAGGAGTTCACAGACATGCTCCCACTACCCACCCACAGCCAGCCTGTGGACCGCAGATTCAAACCCTGTCCCACCATCAGGCAGGTGGGCAGAGAAGAGCCACGGAGCAGTCTTGCTTCTCACTTCCCTAAGCAAAGACATGGACATAGCATAAGTTTCAAATATAGGAGTGGGGTGAGCAGGAGATGAAGCATAAGAGACCTGCTGATACAAGCAATGAAGAAGCGTCAAAAAAAAAAAAAAAAAAAAGCAGCCAACTGAATCTGATCTGACCTATGAGGTATTTAAATGGGGCTCATCTCAGGAGCCATCCTCAGGGCTTAAGGCGGGTAGGGGAGGATGCCAGTCAACCACAGCTCTCAAAAGAGCTAGAAGGAAAGAAAAGAAGGAAGAGAAGGATGGAGGGGAAAAAGATTTAGAAAGTAGCTTATCCATATGGTCTTTATGTCATTCTTTGTACTTCTCTCCCTTATGAAATGCAGTGAACTTAGTCTAAAGCAGCGATTTTCAACTAATGGCACACAAAACTAATTACAGTGGGACCTTGACTTACGAGTGTCCTGACTAACGAGTTTTTCAAGATACGAGCCGTCTCTCGGCCGAATTTTTGCTTTGAGTTGCGAGCTAAAATTCAGGTTACGAGCCAGCTTCAGATACCCCACCGCTAGTTGGCGCAGCGAACGTCACAGTGAACGCCACAACATCAGCCCAGCATCACGTGTCTCACTCGTTCACTTCTTGATTTGACATACGAGTAATTTGAGTTACGAGCTCCGTCACGGAACGAATTAAACTCGTAAGTCAAGGCCCCACTGTACTAAAATTCTTCGGTACACAAAAAAATGTATTTTGCCGATCTGACAAAAAAAATAGGTATAATTTTTATTCATCACATTGGATGATATTGTTATATTGGCTGCTATTATTTTTTCTTTAATCCTCACCTGAGGATATGCTCATTGATTTTAGAGAGAGGAAAAGGGAGAGAGGGGGGGAGAGGGAGTAGAGAGAGAGAAACATCGATGTGAGAGAGAACATTGATTGGTTGCCTTCTGTACCCGAAACCTAGGTATACAGGATGGTGTTTCAACCAACTGAGGCACACCCGCCAGGGTGGCTGTTGTCATTTTTTCATTTGATAATCTAAGGGAAAAGAGGTCAGTGCTCTTGACTCAATAGTCAGATACTGCATGTTTTAAAAATTCTTCCAGCCCACCCGTTGAAAATCACTGGTCTAAAGGAATCAGTATCTTATAGCACTGCCTAGGTCAGCGGTTCTCAACCTGTGGGTCGCGACCCCTTTGGCGGTCGAACGACCCTTTCACAGGGTTCACCTAAGACCATCCTGCATATCAGATATTTACATTACGATTCATAACAGTAGCAACATTACAGTTATGAAGTAGCAATGAAAATAATTTTATGGTTGGGTCACAACATGAGGAACTGTATTTAAACGGCCAGAAGGTTGAGAACCACTGGCCTAGGTAATGATCCATCCCTTCCCATATGTATCACTGCACCCTTCAAAGAGACACATCTGAAATGATTGATGGCTATAAAGTTGGGCTATGGTTTGTACTCATAATTACTGTCTATTGAATGCATTAAAAATGACTGCAGGGTATCTCAAAATATCTGCAGTTTTATGCTATTTCATATATTAAGTGTAAATATTTCATTCAAATTCCTGTGCAGGGCAAACCCAATTCTTTGGGTGAGAAGAACAGACTTGGCTCCAATGACAGAAAAACACCATTTAAAAGTATTTTAGGTTGTAATTCAGGCATTACACTATTTATTTAAATCTATACCCAACTATTAGGTTGCATATTTCATCATATAAGAACTGATGTGCACACATTATATTGCAAACTATAAAATAAGCAGTCTATAGGATGCAGTTTCTCTAGCCCTTAAGAAAATATCACAGAGCAAACCTAATAGCCTCACTGCCTATATAACAGGCAAGAAAGCGCAACAATGTAAGATGTGATGTTCGACAGCTGGCGACATCATAAGTCATCTTCACCTCCTTTCCCTTGCTCTCTCTTGTTCTCTTATGAGTTAGAGTAAGATCATCAATGACAACAAAAGCAGGAAGAAAAAGAAATTAAGCTCTAAATAAACTGCAAAATGAAACATCTAGTCCAGGAAAACAAAAATCTGAAGTTTGCTGTCATAATTCATGTCCCTCTGCCTGCTTTGCTGAGGAAGCCAGAAAGAGACTGGAGGAGGTTCCCACCCAGGCATCAGGGAAGGTGGCCTTGAAACCTACTCCCTGTGTCTCCCTGGGCAAGCTGTATCTTTCGATCTGCAACTCAGTTTCCTAATGTGTACAATGACAAACCTAGGCTGAGCTTTTTAGATTCCTTTCAGCTCTAAATCTATAATTCCACTGGCAGAAGACAGAAGAGGCCACAAAACCTTTTCATCAGGAAGGGGTGCTCCTTCCACACCATGACCCATTTCCCCGGGTACTCTACTCTGGAAACCACACGCAGCAGGAAAAGCTGCCAAATAACTCTGTATCCTTTCGGGAACATAATGCTCACTTTATCACTTCTGCATCACCCAAGGGGCATGAAACTGCTCGGCAGAGGCTGAGGAGCAGCATCTGAGCGCCAAGGCCATTAGATGGGGGCAGAAGTGAGGTGGTAGCTGTTAGGCACCGGCATGGGCTAGGGGGTGTGGGGGCCCGAGAGGTGGGTGCACAGAGGCAGAAGACGCTATTTTACAGGCTGCAGAGTCTGAGGTAGGTCTCCAACTCAAGGAGCAAAATTGAAGCCACAGGTCACATCAGCTCACACATGGGCCTGTTACTGGTTTCAATTTATACCTATATCTGTGTGTGCGTGTGCGTGTGCGTGTGCGTGTGCGTGTGCGTGTGCGTGTGTGTGTGTGTGTGTGTGTATATCAGAGGCCTGGTGCATGAAATTCATGCCCTGGCCGGGGCGGGGGGGGGGGGGGGGTGTACCTCAGCCCAGCCTGCCCCCTCTCGCAGTCCAGGAGCCCTCAGGAGATGTCCAACTGATGGCTTAGGCTCCCGCCACCTCCACTGCACTCACCAGCCCAGCTTCTGGCTGAGCAGTGCTCCCCCTGTGGAAGTGCACTGACCACCAGGGGGAAGCTCCTGCATTGAGCATCTGCCCCGTTGGTCAGTGCACATCATAGCGACAGGTGGTTCTGCTGTTTGGTTGATTTGCATATTAGCCTTTTATTATATAGGATACACACACACACACACACACACACACATAATGCTACTATTTTAAAGTCAGGACATTTCATACAAAAGTCCGAATATCTGTTTGTTTTTAATATAGAAAAGCCAACTACTATAGGCTGAAACTTAGACTACCCCCAACAGAGAACACCTACCTGGCCAGCTTTACCAAGGTTACCCACCTCCTCACTCCTGGGGGCCAGAGTTTGAAACCTCCTACTCTAAATACTTGCCAGTGGCCCCTCATTAAGTGTGGATAACTACAGCGCAAAGGCTGTGGGTGCTCAATAAATGAGAATGTCATCGCCCACGGTAAAGAACCACGCAAAGGAGAGTATTACAATACACTAGCTGCATAACAATCCTGCAAAGGACCCCTTTTTAGGAAATGCAAAACTTTATTTAAAAAAAAAAAAAGCATTTAAACACACCTTCCAATTCAGCTTTCCTGCCAATTGAGTTATCTGTCAAACCGGTTATCTGAATGCTTTCCTCAATTTGGGAATTCAAAGGCATTTCTATGTGCCGAGAACTTGGAAAGTGTAGAAAAGTTTCAGCCTTCAACTGTGGATTCTGCTCCCACCCCATCCCCGGGCAGAACCTATAACCGCTTCTGATTGCTGCCGCTGTGTCACAGCCCCGTGAGGCACTGGTCTACCCCGCACTCCCTTCCGTACTTAAAACGAACGGGGGTATCGATCGGGCGCGCCGTTAACAAGCAGCCCGACTGGATCGGACTCCGCGCCAAGTCCAGCAACAGGTGGGACGCTCATCAGGCGGCGACTCGCCTTCCAGAACACACCTGCCGCGTGGCTCCATTTTCCTACCAGGTCGGAGGGAAAACCCGCTGGTGTTAGTGATAATACAATGCGCTTCCCGGGTTTGTTTCCCAAGTTTCTGGCGCCTTCTTAAACTTCAGAGTTATGCAGAGAGACAATCAGGGGGCAGGAGGCACCAGGGGACCGTACCTGGGAGAGGGTCCCTCCGGAGAACCCTGGTACTCGGACACTGTTTCCAAGTGTCTCCAAACGCCTCTGCCCCGACCCCCTGACTTAGAACCGAGGGTCCGCGGGGCCTCCGCCGGCTGCTTCCCAGCCCCCCCCCCCCCCCCCCAGAATCCCGGAGCAGAGCAACCTCGAGACACTAATGTAACCGGAGGATATTTTAAGGGTAATACTCTGGAGGGCATCCGTGAGGATGCTATTTTCAGACGTGGTAGTTCTCTCATCACAGATAGCACCCAAACTCTAACTGACGGATGGGAACTCTATTTATTAGATTATAAGATTGGAAAGGAAAAAAAGCATCTAAACGTTTTTTGACCAACATCTGTAGAAACTTTGTGCATTTATTCTTGAGGAAAAAAGAACGAAGGTCATTGAGACTGGAAGGAGTGGGACTGAAAGTGGCGCAGCACCCAGACACATAGACTTAGAAGAACCGCCGATG